TCTTCACATTAACATCAATTAATATGGTATACAATAGCTTCCCGCCTTACCTAGAACCACTTCCGTCTCGTATGTTCGCGTCCACTTTGTTCCTCAACATGGCCGCAAGTCCGCCCAGACGTTCCCGCACCGCCGCCAGGTGGAGCGCCGTGTCGCCGTCACGTGATATATGAGTCACTGCGGCCTTGACCTGATCTCCCGCCATAGAGTCCAAGAGATGCACGAGGTCTGCGTCTGTTCCGTGGGCAATGGTGGTTAGCAGACGATCTGCTTCCTCGTCGGCTGTCTGCCATTGCTTCTGCATTATAGGCGGATCTGTTGAAGAAAGGAAAAAGAATGAGACTTTGGATGTGTTTTTTCTTTGCTTTTAACAAACCATGTCTAACTGGTCTCCTTGTCGCTTTTTGAAAACGACAGTAATCTCAGAACTTTTATGAAGTAATTCATCAAAGCAGAGAACGGGAAAGGCAGAGGCCTGTTGTAGCAAGAAGTGGGGAGATTTCTGAATAAATGCATACCCAGACAGTGAAATATTCGGTCTTATACTTATACACGCTAATTGCACCATCCGTCCCTGAAACACTCACGCCACTCTTTCACGTCACATTGATACGGCGGGTGGGTGGAAGGCGCCACGGTAGGTCCTGCTTCTGTTCTTTTCCTCTGTCTTTCCTGTCTGAATGTCTTGCTTTTTTTGCTCCTCTCCACATATAGGCTGTTGTTTTGTCGATGTGCTTCCCTGTCACCAACAAACAAACGACCTGCGCAACGGTACTTTGATAATGACACCATTTCGTTTTGGCTCTTTTTAGACTCGCACGGATCACCCTTTTCACTTTGCGGTTCAAACATTTTCACCAATGAAAGCTAATGCTTTAATGCTTTAAGAAAACACCCTGAATTGCGGTTGTCTCGAATAGTATCAAATTTTACTGAGAGTCGTCCAACATTCCTTCTCACTCTTTTCTCTGTTAAGTGGTTGTTGGCACACAGGACTGTTAACTGAATTGTCGGAAGTAGTTATTGGCACTTGTTCAGACTTCTGCTTTATATAATTTCCCCCAACTGATCACTTTCTGCACCGAAGCTTGTGGAGCCTTTTTTTTTTTTGGGGGGGGGTGTCACCCCCCTCAGTTGTATCTATTTGTTTGTCTGGCTTGCGTTTCCCCTGGAGCTAAAAAGCAGTTATTGTGTGTGGGATTCTAGATATTTTTACCCATTTAACTTTCAATGAAACAGATGCGTTGAAGCATACTTTATATGTGTCTGCAAGCTCAAGTGGGTACATGCACAACATGATTGAGAATCTAGTGGGTCCTACTGTTTATCTGTCTTGCGTTTCCTTAGAGCTAAATAGCCGTTATTGTGTCAATGTGCTTCTGTGTAACTCTCACTGAAACATATGCGTCGAAGTGTTTTTCAGATATTTCGTTAAGCACTAGCGCATACTTGCACAACATGGTTCAGTCTATTATAGTGGGCTGGCGTCTTGGCCACCGCAGGTTTAACATTGATTCACCATTCAGGCAGGGTGGTTGAAGGGAGAAGGGAGGATGGTAGAAAGAAAGAGATATATAGTTAGATAGACAGCTGATAGATAGATAGTTAGACAGACAGACAGACAGACAGACAGACAGACAGACAGACAGACAGACAGACAGA